ATATTTTTGTGAGTGTTTTATGAATTTCTTTTTCGTATAACTTTTGTTTGGATACTAAAGACAGCAAATGCTATGCATTTCGCACCAAACTCTCGCTTATGCTGAACGCGTAATGACGGGTCGTATAAACACTGCAAATACAGTGTATTTTAAACGCCAATCAATGCATGAATGAGAGTCACTGACGTCACCCATAGAGTGGGCTTTAATTCACACCAAGTTTTGCGTTTTTTTGGTGACAATGAAGTTTAGACATTGCATTGCATTCACAACTTTATTGAGATATTATGCAAATAAATATCTCACAAACACTTCAATTAAGAATACATTTATATTTATGATGTATTTCAAGAGCTTTTTATAATATTTATAAAACTTCTAAAACTTTTATAATTCCAAAAAAGTTTATGAAAAAATTTATAAACTTTTATGTAATTTATTTATTTATAATATAAAATATTGCGAATATTATTTGTAGCATTATATGTATGTTTAACTGGAAAATGACTACAAAATAATAAAAATATTCTAGATAAAAATAAAAGATAATACCATAAGAGATAATCTAATATTTAAATCCCGGATCAGATTTGGTGGAAAACTTTTGGCACAAATGCGGACGTAATTGATAAGCGGTTTTGCAATGAAAATCACATTTTGTTTACAAATTGGTGTGACTTTTGAAATCAATTTGCAAACAAACACTTAAAACATGTTTTATTTAAATAGTCGTCAAGTTTTACTAATTATTAATCGCAAACTAATTGCACATCACTTTCGCCGCAATATGTCTTCATTTGACAAAATGCCGGCCTTTAAGAGTGACCAGAGTTTAGACAAATTGTATCCCAAATCCAACACCACTTCCTCGACAGACACCACTCCCGCAAAGGTATTGATCCCGAGATATAAGATAACTGTTAACCATTTGTTTTTTAATACCATTGATTCAGCCGTCGACGGCCCAGCAGTTCACTGGACACATACCCATCGATAAGCTTGAGATCAGCTACTGCCGAAGTAGTGGACCGGGAGGTCAACACGTGAACACCACAAACACCAAAGTGACGGTTCAGTTGCACTTACAGTCAGCCGATTGGATACCACATGAGACCAAACTGAGACTCCAAGAGCTGGTGAGACGGTCGCCATAATCACTCAATCATTGATTCAAATGTATTGTTACTTCAGCACAAGAATAGTATAAACAAAGAGGGCTTTTGGATGATAAGGTCCGACAAGACTCGGATACAGATGATGAACGTCGCCGACTGTATGGACAAAATTAGGTGTTATATCACTGAAGCCTCCAAACCATTGTATACGCCATCAATCGAGACACTCGAGAAGATCCGTCTGAACCGAGAGAGGGCTGCCATCAGACGTCTCGAACAGAAGCGGATCCGTTCGGTGACTAAATCGAGTCGACGTTCAGTCGATTGATATTTCGTATAATATTTACTGTAATTAACTTTGAATTAAAATTGTGTACAAATGCTTAATATATGGCAATAGTTTCGATACAAATAAACAAAAACAATAATT